CCTTTTGGCCCAAGAGCTGCATTGGGTTTCGGAAATTGTATGGAGGGCCAGTTAGGGTAGGGGGCCGTGGCCCAGCCCCCACCTCCTATCTGCTCCCCCACCCCCCGGGACTCCTGCCCCATCCACCCCCCCCCGCTCCCTGTCCCCTGACCGGCCCCGGCCCCCCGCCACCCCATCCAACCCCTCCTCTCATTCCTGACAGCCTCCGAGACCCCTGCCCCCATTCAACCTCCTATTCCCCTACCCGACCCCTACCCAAACCCCCGCCCCTAACCACCACCCCGAACTCCCCTGCCCTCTATCCCACCCCCTCTGCTCCCTGCTGCCTTACCATACTGCCTGGAGCACCAGTGGCTGGTAGCGCTACAGCCGGACCACGCTGCCACCACACAGCTCAGAGACTGGGTCAGGCCGGCTCTGCTGTCCCGCCGCCCAGAGCATTGCGCCGGTGGTGGGGCGAGCTGAGGCTGCGGGGGAGGGGCCGGGGGCTAGCCTCCTGGGCCAGGAGCTCAGGGGCTGGGCAGGACGGTCCCGCGGGCCGGATGTGGCCCGCGGGCCGTAGTTTGCCCACCCCTGCCCTAGATGAGTCTGACCCCCACCCTGGGCTCTTACTTGCAGGTGTTCTCGCACACGAAGCCGCTGTTGTACTCGTCCGTGGCGTCGCAGCAATCTGAAAGCAAGACAACAGCGGCCGTCATGGCCCCGCCCTGCGCCCCCAGGCGGGCTCAGGCAGAGCGGCCCCCCGGCCCCCGAGCAGGGGCGGCCCAGCTTACCGCAGACGCCGTCGTTGACACGGGAGGAGGGGATGTACTGCGGCCGGTAGCCGGCGTTGGTGCAGTGAAACCGGCCGTTGGGGCAAGCCGAGGTCCCTGAAAGACACACAACAGCCCTGGTGGTTGGCAAGCACAGACCTGCAGCGGGCAGCTGCCCAGTCTCCTTGCCCTTAGGGCCGGGCTTCACAGCAGACGCAGCCCGAGTCCCGTCCACATCCTCCCTCCCGCCATGGCTAACGCTCCAGCGAGCGCAGCCTGCCAGCCCAACCACTCTGCAGCGTGGCTGCAGGGGGCTGACAGGCCTCCAACGCCTTCCCACCCCCCAGGGCAGATTCTCCCCCCGTTCCCTGGGACAGCACCCACCGAACGGCTCAGCCACGGGGTGTGCTTAGTGCGCGGTAGCGAGGACAGAGCAACGCGAGGCTTATTTCAGAGCGTCGAACGCCAGAAGGGATCACCTGGCCCGTCCTCCTGGCCAGCACAGACCGGGGACCGTCTCCCAAGACTGGTCGTGATTTCAGTCACTCCCCTCTGGAGGCCAAGCTATGCCACGGGCAGAGACCAGGAGAGACTGAGGTGCCCCCGGGGCCCCCACGATGGCAGGGAATTGACTAGATGAGACGTGCCGAGCCACGCTTGAGGGGAGCCAACGACACCCCCTCAGTCCAGTCCCCTCCCCTCCTCCATGCCTCCCATCATGCCCCCCCGCAGCTGCCTCCTGTCCTCTCCCCCCAACTCCCCGCATATGCCCCATGCTCTTTTAGGCAGGATCTGCCTTGGCGGGCACAGTCCCATGCCAACGCGGTAGCTAGCAGCAGCGAGCGGCGGGGGAGGCACACTGCTGCCTTACCGGCAGGGGGGCTCGCCAGCTTGTCACCCACCTGGCTCATCCGAGCCGTCCTGACAGTCGCAGTAATCGTCATTGACCCACTCGAAGGCGATGGTCGAGGACCCGTCCAGGCAGGTGAACGGCTTCGATTCCTCGTAGAAGTGATGGTCTGGGAGGGAGAGAACCGGAGATGTGACAGGGAAGGGGGATCTGTGGAGAGTCACCCACAACCCCTCCCTCTCGGGGCCTGCGCTCCCTCCAGACCCCACCGAATGGGCCTGGAGGAGCAGTGACCACTAGGCCAGCTTTCCTGCCACGCTGCCCAGGTGGCAACTAACCAGGGCTCCCCGAGGCTCGGCACACGGCTCAGGGTTGCTTCTTGGCTCCAGGCCCATGGCTCCAAGTACTCGGACAAGCTGTCACCCACCAGCCCCGCCCTCACGGTGCCCGCAGTCAAGGGAGGAGGGGTGGTTCATTAAGAACGCCCCGATTTTAACAAACAGGTTGCAGAGTTTTTACTCTGCCACCCTCACTTGCCAAATAGAAGGCAACTTGACTGCTGCCGTCCCCCAGACCTCACAGGTGGAGCTGCAGGCTAGTAGTTAGAGTAGGGGGCTGGGAGTCAGGACCCCAGGTTCTCATCTGAGAAGGGAGTGGTTACAGCGGGGGGGGGGCGGGAGTGGGGGGCTGGGAGTCAGGACTCCTGGGTTCTATTCCCAGGTCTTGGAGAGGCCTGGGGTCTAGTGATTAAAGCAGGGGTGGTAATTCAGGACTCCTGGGCTCTAGTCCTGGCTCTGACCCCGATTTCCCAGAATACCTTGGGGGTAAGCACTCTTCTGCTCCGTGCCTCAGTTTCCCCATCTAGTTAAATACCATCTACCTTGGAGGGGGATTATGGGGCCCAGAACCTCCATGAAACTGAGAGCCGCTAGCCAACGGTGGAGGTGCCTGGGTGGATGCAGCGCTCTCCCCACATAAAGGGGAACTCTGGAAGGAGATGACAAAGGGGCATTTCCTTTAACTAGCCATGCCCCCAAGCACTTTTTAAAGGGCCAGGGACCCAATTCCGTATGGGACTGTGTGACAGCTGCTGGTCACTCACTGGTCAAAGAGACCCCCCGGGGTCGCTTCACCTCCACGGCGGAGGCCAGGGCGCTCAGGACCGGCAGCAGCAGCGGCAGCAGCATGATTCACACGCAGGGGCACCAGGTCCTGCTGGGGAGGGAAGACAAGGGAGCCAGTGTAGCCGGTTGTTTCCTCTGCACCATTCCCCCGGGGGGGCAGGGGGGGCTCAAATCCTATATAGGCCCCTGTAGGAACATGCCCCTGGACAGCCCAATACCTGCGGAGCCTGCAGCGCCCTCCCCAGCTCCTTCCCCACTGAGGGGCACAGTCTGCAGCCCCATAGCGGCCCCACTCCCGCTGAGGCCCCCTATAGACCCAGCTCCTGTCTCTCACCCATGGAGGCCTCTATAGAACTGAGCTCACCCCCCCGCCCCCCAAATCAGGGCCCCTATAGATCCCGCCTCTCACTGCGGCCCCATAGATGCAGCCCAGCCCCATCCATCCCCCAGAGACCCCTACAGACCAGCCCCTCCCCCACTGAGGCCCCTATAGGGACCCAGCCCCTCCCACTGAGGCCCCTATAGGGACCCAGCCCCTCCCACTGAGGCCCCCATGGACCCAGCTCCCCTCTCTCCCATGGAGGCCCCTATAGAATGGAACTCACCCCCCATCAGGGCCCCTATAGATGCAGCCCCACGGAGGCCCCTATAGACCCAGGCTCGCCCCTCCCCCCCACTGAGGCCCCCACCGACCCAGCCCCCCGGTACCCGAGGAAGGGGCGGAATCCCCGTGGAGAAGGGTCCAGGGTCCACGCCAGTGAAACCGGAAGTCAGCGGCGGCTCACATCCGCTTGGGCGCCCACAAAAGGACGGAGGCGGGCGAGACAAAGGAAACGGCGTGTTCGGGCCGCCATGTTGAGAGTGGCATGGCTCGCCCCGGCTCACTGGCGGGCGGCCATCTTGGATGTGGCGGAAGTACCTGTCTCCCCCCCCCCCCCAACCATGATGGTGTTGAATGCGCCGCGCTTTGGCGGCCACCTTGAATGTGGCGGAAGTCGTCCAGCCAATATTAGCAAGGGGGACTAGGGAAGGGGGAGAACAGGATGCCTCCCAGTCTCCCCCTCCTCCACTGGATGGCGGCGGATGGGACAGCCCGCGTACCTAGCTCCCACACAGAGCGTCAGAGCCTGGTGACCTTCTTCCCATCATGCCGCGCCGGACCCGCGCCCTGGCGGCCAATGGGAGGCTTTGTATCGGAGTTGGTTGCCATGGCGAGCTGGGCGGGGGATGTTGGATGGGGAGCAGGGCCTTGGAGGGGCGCAGAGGCGGCTGCAGGGGAGCAGGGCAGGACCCGGTGGGGCTTGGGGGGCGGGGGAAGCTCGGGGCACTGAGGGGAGCGGAGCCACCCGCTGGGGTTCCCCCCCACCTACCCTGGGGTGCCCCCATCTGCCCCAGGGTGCCCCTCTTCCTGCCCCAGGGTGCCCCCCACCTACCCTGTGGTGCCCCAGGGTGCCCCTCTTCCTGTCCTAGGGTGCCCCCATCTGCCCTAGGGTGCCCCCATCTGCCCTAGG